GGAGGAGGAGGAGGAAGGGGGGAAAAAAAAGAGAAAGGAGAGCATCAGTAAAGTAGAATCCCAGAGCCCGATTACAAGACCTGCTCTCATCTGCCTGGAAAATGTGACTGGGCTGTCTGGAGGGGGGTGAAGGCGTCACATTCCAGTTCACATCCCACTTCTCGCTGGCGCAAGGGGATGATGACCATTACAGAGGGATGAGAGTGAGAGGAGGACCTGCATCGATCTTTACTGACGGCATCTCTTCATCTTTCCTGTGCCAACCTCCATGTGTCTCAGCTAACACTCGAACTCCTGTTGGCGATAACAGGGTCTAGATGGATAAAGACCTCTTTTTTCTTTTCTTTTTTTTTTAAAAGTCCTTCAGGGAAATTCAGCTTAAGCAGCCAGTATCAACAAGGTATAGTGTGGAGAGAGCTCAGGGTTAGCTTTGCTTGAGTCACACAGCTATATATTTTGTAAATGGAGCGTGCTGTCGGGATCACTCTTCATCCTAATGTGACTGTGGATGTGAATGTGGCCCGAGAGGGGTTTTGGGGGGCACAGGGCATGTCCTCCCTTATTAAATAAGTTTTACCCCCATTAAACCTGCTTTCTAAACATTGGGGTCACATGGGACTGATGCTACATATTTTCCACCCCTTAGGCTACCTCTCTGTAGGTTGCCTTATGCTTTCTTTCACCTTCTTACTCCCCTTATGGATGAGCGCACTTGTTTTTAGTTGAGGTGTTTGTGCATATGGTGTGTGTTGTTGTGTTGGGTCGGCTAATTATAAGGCCGCCATCTCAAGGTTTTGTGTCTCGGCCTCGGGAGGCGGAACACTGACTCACTCCCCATCATTGACAGCGCCGCACGATAAAGAAATTACACACACGCATACACAGACAACAAGTCAATAGCACATGTTGTCAAAGCAAATATTCGCACCAGGTCATTAGCACAGACACAGGCTGTGTGTATGCATTTATTTGTTGCGTATGCGAGCGTATGCACCGTAATGCCACAAAACTCCTCTGTTCTGGCCTTTTAATCAGTGAAGAATGGCTGTGAGCGTACACAGCCGCTGCCTACTGACACAATGTTTAGGTCTGTTTATGAGAGAGCGAGAGAGAGAGAGAGAGAGAGAGAGAGCGAGAGAGAAGTGGGAGACGGGGGGAGGAGCGGGGTGGTCACAGACACATTTAGAGATCCCACTTCTCTTTGTGGTAATGACAAACTGCGCTCTCAGCTGTTAAACACAAAGGCAGCATCAACAGTTGCTGTCAGCCCAACGGAGGGCTGACTGTCTGCCTGCCTGCGAGGGTGTGTGTTTGAATCAGTGTGTAAGTGAGGGAAGTCTATACTGCACTGAAGCCAGGATGGAGGCCAAAACCATCCGCTTTTTCTACAGTCAGCGTTGTAAAGGTAGGACGGCCGCTGTAGACAAGCCGTGATGCAGCTGCACAGGCTGGCGATTGGAGAAGTGTGTGTTTTTTTTTTTTTTTAAAGGACGCATGAGCAGCCTACTCAGCATTGGCAGGCAGCTATGAGAGCATAGCATTAATCTGTCAGCTGTCAGCACTGATCCGGCTTATCATCATCACGTCCTTGGGTGTGTGGATGTGTGCACATGTTGCTGCAGACGCTTTGTGTGTCCCAGTCTATAACTGCAGTGGGCAGGACTCTCCAGAGGACTTTTCTGTAGCCAGTGATTGAATATGGTTTCTGAGTGTGTCTGCACTGAGTGCACTCTATTAATTTGAGGCCAGACTGGAAAGCAGCGTGGAGGAGGGAGAGGGGAAGGAGGCAGGAGGAAAATGAAAAGTGATAAGCTGGGATAAATGACTGCCTCTGGAGATCTCTCTGTGTGTGGAAGAGGATAGCTGATCGCACACACAAATGCACGCATGAATATGATGATGTACACACATAGGAAGCAGTCTGTGCTTTATGGACTGGTGGGAGGGGGGTGGGGTGGATTTCAGCCAAGTCTCCAGGCTGATGTGTCAGGGCTCTGCAGGTGCATCCACATCAGCTGTACTTAGGAAACTGTTTTAGACTTTAATATTTTACACACTGTTGTGGCATGCATCTTAATGATAGTACTGCACTGACGACAGTATTGTATGCAGCTTACTCTCAGGTTGTAAGGATAATTGCATGTTTTTTAGGGAACACAGGCCTTTTGATTTTAGAAGTGCGTGGTAACAAACGATCTGTAGGCATTTGTGGCTTCAATGTGCGGATTATACCTGGATTTGTGGTTGGCCCGATAAAGTTAAAAAATAAGTTTAACTCATCTTTCTCTCTCTACCTCTCTTCCCTTCACCCCCTGGCAGAAATCCGTGCCCAGCTGGTGGAGCAGCTCAAGTGTCTGGACCAGCAGTGTGAGCTGAGGGTGCAGCTGCTGCAGGACCTGCAGGACTTCTTCAGAAAGAAGGCAGAGATCGAGGTGGACTACAGCCGCAACCTCGAGAAGCTGGCCGAGAGGTTCCTCACCAAGACTCGCAGCACCAAGGACCATCTACTCAAGTATGGCAACACACAAAACTGCTCACACACACACACACACTCACACACACACACTTACACACAAAGCAAAACCACACTGGGCTGCACATTGTTATAATGCTGTGTATGATGAAACCACCAATGTCTTTATTTAGCCCCTTTTATTCAAAGTGCTTTCAAGATGACTTCCTTCCTGAGAAAAGAGAAGTAGAGACAAGCAAAAGAAAGAACGAAAGAAAAAGGGATAGCAAAGGAGTTGGTGCGTCTGTAAAATACGGACTCTCACTGCTTCCCAGTTTGATGAAATGAAACACCAACTGATTTCTCACTTATACATTTCATTAGGATGGTCATTTCTGTTATCGGTCAC